CAAAATATTAAATATATATAATATATATTAAAAAAAATTTAGACAAAATCTAAATTAATTAAACTATGATATTTAAAATATTTCAATATAAAATTAATAAGATTAAATTACTTTATATTTAAATTGTATAAGAATTCTTTATATAAATTTAACTAGTTTATATATAGGCAAAATTTGTATAAGTATTAGAATTCTTTATGAAATCCATGTACTAAAACTTATGTGAAATTACATATATTGTAAATTTGTAAAATGTAATTTTTAACCCTAAGTGAAATATGTTCCTGTGTTAATTTTACTATTACACAGACCAAATCTTAAAAATTTCTATTTTTGCAATTAAAAATTAAAAAATTAAATTTTAGCCTATAAATCCTGCATGGGATACAAATCCCGCGTATGATGTGTGGGATTATTAAAAAAACTGTGATTTGCTCATCTCTACCTGTAGTAGTTTATAAAATTATATTACCAAAAGTCATTAATAAAAATTAAAAGACCAAAGAGGTCATTTTAATATTAAAAAAAAAAATAATAATACAAAAAATACTTAATTGTAATAGATTAGTTTATAAATATATTAAAAAAATTCAAATTTTAAAATTAATTAAATATATTCTATACCTTTTTTTTTTGCTTTTACTAAGACTGTTAGTTATTGGTAACTACTGCTTTTATTGTGATTTAATTATAATTATATAACTTGTATAAGGTAAATTCTATATTAGAAGCCTGTATTGGGTTTTGTAGCTTGACTCAGTTTGGTCTGTAAATTTTTGTAGACCAGACTAAATCTGAAGCAAAATTTTATAATTGTGAATCAGGCTGAGTCTAAAATTTTGTAAAATTATATAAAAAATTTTATGGGCCAGACTGAATTAAAAAAAATTTTAATTATATATAAACTAAACTAGACTAGCAAAAAACTTTAATTCTAAATGTAAATCAGATCAGACCTTAAAAATAGACAATTTGCAGACTTTTATCTAATATTATACTTAACAAATAATCATATAGGTTCTTATATACCAAAGTGATGTCTAATATAATTCTAACTTCTTTGTTTATATATTTGTTAAGCTATTACATATTTCAGAGTATATTATCTGACTATAGAACTCTAAAAACTCTCTTACTAACTAACTATTTATATTTAATCTTTTGTTAACAAGACTCATTCTTATAAAGTTCACTCAAATTCTAGTTTCAACTTCATAGTATATTTCTAATACTTAAGTTATATTCTACTTTAGTCTTCAAACTCTTAATTCAAATAATCTATAAGGACTATAATCTGTTCTTAATATTCTAAGATTTCATCTTTTAAGATTCTTTTTCATTAGTTTGAAACTTTCAACAACCTGATTGGTGATACCTTTCATCTAAAATTCTTGTCTGCTCAATTTCTTCTATATCAATTTTCATTTTCTAGATTTAATCTTTATAGTAATATTATTAAAGATCTGTATTATTTCTTTATTCAAATTTTCTTAAATAAGCTCTAGCTTCTCAGTTCTACAGATTTATATAACCACAAGGACTTATCTTGAATTTGTATTATCTAATACTAGTTTACATTTCTCTGTATAATTCCAATATTGCACAGATATCCTATAACCTGCTAGTCATACTAATGCAATTATAGTTATAAGTATCCTATCTCAACTAATTGACAGAATGTTATTGCTATAATATCATCTATGTATTACATAGATAATTATTTAAATTTTTGCTATTAATAGATTTTGAACTTTCAACTTACCACTTGAGAAGTTGACAATTTATCCACTTCACTAAGTTATCACACCTTTTATAAAATTTTAAATATTAAATATATTTATTTAATATATAAAATTTATATAATTACATTTTAATTCAAATATATCAAGTTGATGTATCATGTTTAATAAAACAACCAATATTAATAAATAACAAATTTCTTATTAATATAATTTATAAAAATTTTATTGGGGTTTAAGGCTTAAATTAATTAAAAATTAAAGTTTTTTATGTTCTCGTAACAACCTTGGGTTAGCCAATAGTAGTTAGAGTTTGAGCTACACAAAGTTTTGGTTATTTTTATTGGTTGTACTATAAATTATTACAAATAAGTGTGTAACAGGTTGTTACGTCCTTTTTAAAATACTAATCATTTTATTTAGTACCAAATATCTATTATCGATGCTGTTTTGAGAAATAATATAATATATCTGTTAAATTTACTTCTGGTAAGCGTTAAAATCGACCTTTATTTTTACTAGTTAAAAATAGCAAATTAAATATCTATAGCTTTTAAAATAAAAAAAATAAAAAATTTTATTAGAATTAAGCGTTTATTAATACAATTACCTCTTTAATAATGCTCTAAGGTGGTTAAACAACTGTTTGTAGTATTAATCCGGGTTTACAATTTTGATTGGTCTATTATCCACGCTTAAGATGACCCGAATATAGAAAAAAAATATAAATAAATTATTGTTATTATTGTTTGGAAATTTAATAGACAAGATCATTACTAATTTAGTCAGTAAGTAGTGTTATTTTGCATACGTCTTTATTGAAGACTGAAGTAGTCTTAATGTTTATTTTTACTGTGAAATGTTACATTCTTAAAAGTACACCAAATTATAAATGCAATTGTGATTTACCAACTAGTCTAAGGTCTATCTTAACTTAATATGTATATATTCTTATAATTTGTTTTACTAAAAAAATTTCATTTATTGACACTTTTGATATTAACAAAGTGATCCAATAGAAAAGGTAGTACGTCTATAACAGATATCTGTTTTATTGGTTGTCCAGTTCCTAATATTTATTTCCAAAATTTAAAGTTAATAATCTCGCGTTGTCAGAATTGCTTTAATAGTGATATTTGTTGCCAATTTGTCCCAATGTCTATTATCACGACGTCTGACTTTTTATTAAATGTTTGTAAATGATTGTGCTTATATACCTGATGTATAATGTTATTTTTTTATATACGTATTTACACTATCCTATATAAATACGTACTAAATGTCCAGCCTTAATAAACTTTAAACCAATTTTTTGATCGTTGAAATTTGATTATAAATATTCCGTGTAACAATTTTTTATAATTGCCAAGCTTATTTGAAACATAATTTGATAATGTTTGGATATTAAAAGTGTTAAATATATATATACTTCGTTTTATATTAAAAATTATTAAAACGTGAGGTGAAGGTTCAAGGGTAATACCAGAATTAGTTTGTATAACTTACCATAAAAATGCAAAGTTGGTCTTACAAAGGGCTAGTACGTACACTTGCTTTCTTATTTATATTATCGTTATTCATTATATACTGTATGTTCTCATAAAAGACGGCCTTAATACCATTCCACTTGTTCATCTCAAGTTTTCATTCAAAAAGAAAAAAAATTAAGGTCTAATAATTACGACTCAAAATGTTTGGCATACCTATAAAGTATGTCAGTCTGATCATTCTTTGCATCCAGAACAGCACACTAGTAATTGTGATGCGCTATTCACGGATGGTTCCTGAAAGTGAACTATATTCCACTTCTACAGCAGTGTTTTTATCTGAGTTGACAAAACTTGTCATTTGTATCTACATGGCCGTCCGCTCTCAAGTAATTGAAACTGGACGTTGTAGGGCTTCTGATCTTTATGACCAAGTTTTTACACCCGATGCGTGGAAATTAATGATACCAGCAGCATTATATACGGTCCAAAACAATTTACAGTATATTGCTGTTAGTACGTTAGATGCGGCTACATTTCAGGTCACATATCAACTTAAAATTTTAACAACGGCAATTTGTTCAGTACTTATGCTCAAAACTACTTTGAGTCCGATTAAATGGTTTTCATTAGTCTTGTTGACTTGTGGTGTTGCATTAGTTCAATTAAGGATTGGAGGTGATTCATCGCAAGATAAAAATATGCATACAAGCAAAACCCTTGAGAAAGAAACATATGACGATGGGGCGAAAAAAATTGTAGGTCTATGCGCTGTTACCGTGGCATGTATAATTTCAGGATTAGCTGGTGTATATTTTGAGAAAGTTCTTAAAGGTTCTCAACCCTCTATATGGATCCGAAACCTTCAACTTTCATTCTTTTCTCTTTTTCCCGCCTTAGTCTTGGGAGTATGGTGGAAAGACGGTTCTACAGTATGGGAAAAAGGGTTCTTTTTTGGATATAACTTTACTGTAATTGGTGCTATTGCATGTCAAGCTATCGGTGGTATTATTGTAGCTCTGGTTGTCAAATACGCAGACAATATTCTTAAAGGTTTCGCTACTTCAATTTCTATCATTCTTTCTTTCATCGCTTCCGTTTATCTTTTTGATTTCCCGGTTACTGTAACTTTCTTGATTGGTTCTGCTCTGGTGTTAATCGCAACATATATGTATAGTAAACCTGATAAACCTGACTCTCAAAAAAAAGATTATCATCCTATTGAAGAGGAGGAAGAGATTGGCAACGACCATGCCTTTAATGAAAAGGTGGACACTGCTAACAATGGATACGTTAAAGTTAGTGGGAAAGATTAAGTTAATATAGAATAAGAAAAAACCACTTGTCATTTACTTAAACTATACAAAACCATCATGAATTATAATATATTCCATCATTTTCAAATTTTCTCCATTTATATATAGAATTATTCATATATATAGATTGGGATTTATTATCATTGTGTTTTTTATTGTAGATTTAGTGAATCTCGAGCATTAACAGCTCGTTGTTTTTACTATATAATAATTTTTGTCTAAAGCATCATATTTCAGTTACCCAAATGATTGAGTTTTGTGCATTTTTTATAAAAATAAATTATGCGACTGATCATTGATAAGTAGTGATGTTTTGTTTTTTTTATAAAATATATAGATTAACATTCTTAACATCTACTTGGCAATGATCACAATCTATATAACTATTAAAATGGCGTAGAACAGTATTCTTATAATCTTACTAATATAAATAGGTTAAATATTATAAATAGATATAATTACACTTCATCCATGATAGCATTCTGTTTAGAAATTGCCACCCCTTCCAAAACATTAAGTACACCCACATTCTTCACAAGTTCTAATTCTTCTTCACTTCGCGTGAGCAGCATTCCAGCAAATCCTAAAGAGTTCACTGATATCTGTTCATACTTTTCCCTACTCCTAGGTACGATCATAAACCATGTATGAGTCATAATTAAATTGTAAGACAAAGGATTGCGACCTATCGAGAAAGATTGTTTATGTAAACCCTCGATCATAGAGTCGAGCAACGAATGAAATACATCGTTCAGATATTGGCTCACTTCTCCATGATGCCCATGATGTCCACTCAATCGTTGTGGATCGAGAAGCGCTATATGGTGAACATACGGCAATTTAGGAATGTCAAAAATTTCGCCTGGTAGAAAAAACAAATGATATTTAGTCAACATGACAATTATAAAAATATTTACATATTTACACACATTTTAATATTATATATATATATATATAAAACAAATATACCTGGCTTTTTAAATTCTTGAACCTCATAAATGCAAGCATTAATAGGAGGTGCAAACCGCGCGTCGTTTGGTAAAGGAATTAATTGAATATGTTTATGTGGTTGGCTTTCGTGAATAATGGATCATATAATTAAGTTTAAATTGCATAACGGATCACTAATGAATTATATAGTTGTTATCATACCTTGCACCCGAAAGCTCACCGCAATTAAAGAATGCAACTGTTGGCTGACTTTTAATTTGCATCATACAATACCATATACTTTCTAGATCCTCCGGAGTTAAAGGATCCGTTTGTTTTTCAAAGTCTATTATCGAAATATGATTAATAAGAAATCGGTTATTAATATTAAAATAATCAGAATAATCAGGAGAAACTGATTAATAAAAAAATCACCCTTAGTAGCAATTACTATATGACGGGGAACAACACAAAACTTGTTTAACAATATATTATATATTCCGTGTTCTTGCACAAATAATTCTTGACTATATGGTAAAAAAGGATCAGCCTTAGGTTTCTGCTGCAGTTCATCTTTTGCTCCTAAATTACCGATAGGTTTCTTGGCCAAACTAGGTGCAATTCGAATTTCAAACTGAAAATTTGAAAAAGTAAATTACACTTGAGCTTCAAAAATATTATGCAGTAGGGTTCTTGCAAAATACCTCGATTCCTTTATCTTCTATATGAGCAACTTCACTTTCTATAAAGCTTAGTTCACCACGCTGAAGTGCTCGATTATATATTTCGGCAATACGTCCTTCGAAATGAGTTTGCATTTTGAATTTAAAATTTAAATTAACGTTAAATCTTGTTGCTACGTAATATTTTCTTAATATAGATTGGAAGATTTTCTTGATGATCTATTTATTACTAGCCAATGGCTGTATACCAAATTACAACATCTCGCATTTTCTTTGAAGACGAGAAAACGTCAATTCTCAGACTTTAAAGACATTCTTTATAACATCAAAGATCGATCCATTTTATCCTTCTCATTCTCAAAAATCTTAAAAAAAAAAAAAAAAAAATGAAGCTGCCACACTCCGGTAAACTTAATCGTGCTACAGGACATCGTATGGCCATGTTGAGGAACATGGTTTCTTCTTTAATTGAACATGATAGAATCAAAACTACTTTAGCTAAGGCTAAAGAAGCACGAAAACTAGCCGATAAGGTGAATAATTTGCGAAAGAATTTACATAAAATAAAATTGTAGACTAATATTTCAACATTAGTCAACAGTATACATTTTCTAAAAATTTACTCAGTATGCAATTTGATCGTTCTGAACTTTTATAGATGGTAACACTGTCAAAGAGAGGAGATATTCAAGCGAAGCTTCAAGCACGGGGTTTTCTTCGGGCATGTATAAAAATTGAATCTTATGGTAGATGATGTAAAGATGTCTAAAAAATTATATACATCACATGATGCACATGATGAAAGCCTAGACCTAGTTCATTCAAACAATAAAAAAAAGTACATGCGTCACGATTATCGCCATTTTCAAAAATGCATAGTCACGTGAACGTCGAAAATGGCGATGAGTAAGTCTACGGACACCTACCAATTCACGTGAATACCTACCAATTCGGGTAATTGTTGTACCTAGTACAAACGCACGTGAGCTGGTAGTGTTCGTAGATTTATTCAATGGTGATAAAAAGAGTAACATAAATCCTGCCTAAATCCAGTTGGCACGTTGACTGATCATCGTTCTGTTTATAGGAACATTTTAAAACAATTCCTAAACTCTTTGGTGATATGGCAGATCGTTATCGCGAAAGAAACGGAGGTTACACTCGAATTCACCGAATAGGTAATCGTATTGCTGATAATGCACCTATGGCAGTTTTAGAATACGTTGACGCACCAGGAGACTTAAAATACGAAATGTTGATAAAACAACTTGCACGAAGGGAACTTGATCCATCTCTGAAGGTTCCGACCACATTTAACGGCGAGAGGGTATCACCATTGAGAAAGAAGCGCGAATTCAAAAAATGGCTAGACAGACTTAAGGCACAGAGAAAATTCGAAAAACAAGTGGAAAAAATGATGAAATGCAAGAAAATGCCTCCTAAAGAATTGGATAGTGCAATCTTGCAGGAAATTCGTAATCTTAAAATTGCTGATGAACGTAAAGAAGATATGAAAATTCAATACAAGTTGAGAAAGAAAGGTGGCCACTTGTCTTATGAAAATATGCGTTAAAAATTATGCTTACATTTTAACGGAAAATCTTTGGAGTTTAATTCACGGAAAAACATAAATACATAATGTTTTTTAGAAAATAAATAAACAGTAAATGTGCATTGATCTATACCTGAATAAATACTGGAATTCTCCTTCTTGCTATCACTCTAGTCATTTTGAAATTATATATCATTAATTTTCATATAGTTCTTATAAAATAGTTATTCAAAACCTAAGTTGAAAGAATCAAATTTGTGATTATCTAATTTTGATAATATATTCCTGCAGGGGTAAAAAGTGTGCAGATTTTTGTGTAAATGCATTCTATAAAACGCATTCTATAAAAAGTGACTCCCCAATCGTAAACCATATTAGGATAGGTATTGACGTCAAAGCAACTACACGATTGTTTTCTTTGTATAGATTCAAAAAGTTAGTACAACTTTGGTTAGTTAACAATTAATTCAAATTTGGACACTATGATTATTATGAACTTTCGATCACCCCATCCTTCACATAAAAGGTTGGATTTATATTCATGTTTAAAAGACGTGATGTGTTAACAAAGTTTTCATATACTGCATAAAAAGATAAACATGTATTATTTGTAAATTTCCAAATCTCAAGATGTGCTTTTTTTTTACGCGTAAAAAAGTGTAACGAACAATGTTAATTATAATAATTTGGTAAATCAATCATACTGTTGCCAAATAAATCGGCATTGAATTGCTCCTTATTGATTATGACACTTAGATCCTCAGATTGTTGTTTCCGAACTTCGATTTTTTTCCGGAAGCGTGCTAATGTACATAAAATGAATAAATGCTATGTAATAAAATTAAACAAAACATTCTCCGTCTTTTGGTTTCGAATAAAGGTCCGGTATTTGATCATGACTGCTCCCAACTATTATTGGAAATTGAACTTGACTACTTTCGGTGGACGCACTTTCGATTTGGCCTTTTATTTTGTTTGCTATTGGATAATGTTATGCAACATTCTGGTGACCACACTTTTATATTAATAAATAATGTGTCAAATGCTAATTTATCTTGAACTTGACGTATCGTATATCGCATATATAATGTTATTTAATAATAGACAAACTGAGAGACTAACTTGTTCGAGACAAAAAGATCCTGCCATACATATTACGAACTTCCGAACACCGATTATTATATGAGGGGTTTTTTTTACGCCCCGCTAAACTCCCACCAACCATGATAGGGAAAAAAAAAAACGTAGCCACCATAAAAATGCCTCAAGTGGAATTCATATAAATTCTTTCTCATAAAATTTTTTTGATAATTTTATATATTAAAAAATTGGAGTAATACCGGTCTTTTGTCTTTTTTCCCTATCCTTTCCTTTTTTTTCCTTTTCTTTCCTTTTTTCTCGTTGCCTAATTTATTTCTTTACTTTATTATTCCTGGTGATAACTTTGATAATTTCTAATGTCTACGGACCACGACGCGATTGCTAGTTTATGTGCACTTCGCTTTTTTGGAGCAAATAATCAAGTTCCCACTTTTAACGTGGTAACTCATTTCTTTTATAATCAATAAATCATTCTTAACCTTGATGTCACGATTTTAACCCTATTACATATCCTAACTTTTCGTACGCATATCGATTTATCTTTACAATTCAGATGGACAACTTTTATGCCCAACTTACTCCTATGAAATTTCCTTCTGCTAAAGAAGCTGCCTCGTTTTGTAGGCAGTTGGCACGGGAATACGGCTTTACAGTAAAGCAGGAAACTAGTTCCAATAAGGTTGGTTTATTTCGTTGATGTTCATTAATAAAATTAATCTACACGTTAGTCTGCACTATAACTTCGATGCACCTAGTATAGCTATTGATAAATTTGGATGTACATACTAAACATACCCTTTCATATGTTGTAATGCATAAACATTTAAAATAACTTTTTCAAGCATTGTATTGATTATGATTACTTTTAGCATGGACTTATATTGTGACTTTGTTTTATTTAATACTTTGACATGTCATCGCACAGACCACATAAATTTAAATTTCTTGATTGGCAATCAGCACCCTTTCACGTTACACGAATGGAAATTTTAACCTACTTTTTTTTTCTAGAACGTATATGTGTACTGTTCTCGAGAAGGTATTTCTGAAAGTGTGAAAATTGGTAGAGAGACAAAAAGAAAACGAGCATCCCTTCGTTGTGACTGTAAATGGAGGGTGGTCCTATTTAGAAATGAACAAGGTAATCAATGGGAATTTCGAAAGTCGGTCAACCCGCAACATTCGGAACATAATCATGACCTGATCCCCCCAGAAAATATTCCTGAACCATGGCCTCCAAATGTTCTGCAACGAATTGCTGATCTTGCAAATTCTGGATTATCAACCGGAGACATAAGAAATACGATGCAAATGGAATTTCCGAATTTATTGTGGGATGAAAGGAGGTTTTATAATCGTCTGGCTGAAGAAAGGTATTTTCATATACACTGAAAAAATAGATATAGATATGATTCTCCTGCGTATTATAAAACTTCATATCATTTAAATAATTAAATTATAATTAGGAAAAAATTGAAAATAAGAGATACTGAACAACGTGTCATTGATACAATAGTCCTGGCGGCTCGTCTTGCCTCTTTGGCATGTTCCAATAAAGAATATACTGATAAAGTTCACACTGTTCTTCACAAGGCATTTGAAGATATCTGCAGAAGTGCTAAAATTGATCCATCATCTGTCTTTAGTGACGGTTTATCGACATATGGTGATATGACTGTAATAACACCATCTATGTCATCAAGTGCAGATATCATATGTACTTACCCAGCAGGCATAATAACTGTTAAAAATATTCCTGGGCAAAAAGGAAGACCATCAAAAAAGAATTTGCATCAATTACCACCTAATCAGTCAATCCCACCACAGTCTCAATGTCAGCTCGATCAAATAGATAATATAACACCTCAAAATATATTAACTCCACCCAATGAACATTCCCCACAATTGACACAACAAATGAATGTGTCCTTACATCCACAAAATATGTCATCCCCTCAATCACATCAAAACGGGCCGTTATCATCTCAATTACAACAACAAAGCGGTTTACATCTTCAAAATAATTTGGCTTTTCCTCGACTACAAAATACCAAAGATTTAATGTTATCACAATTAAACGCTCAAAATGTATTAATGTCTCCACATATACAGAATTCATCACCTTTAACACCGCAAACCCAATCGCGGATTCAAATTCTGTCACAATCGTATTTTCATTCTCAACCTCAAGAAGCCGTTGCACAAGGGAATCAGAATCCGCATTCATCACAGACACTTTCTTCTTCGCAACCACAATCTCAACTTATTCCACAATACTTTCAATATTCGCGGTCACGGCCTCCACCACAAAATATATCAAACGGATCACCACAACAAATACATCTGCAGTCACAGCCAGACTATTCAAATCAGCATATTCCTCAGGTGGACCAGTCGCAAACTTTGTCCTATTCACAGCAACTTCAACAGCCCATTCCTCAAGTGCACCTACCACAATCGTTACGCATGCAATCAAAGATATCCACTTTCCAGTTTATGAATGAGGATATGCCAGATCAAAAACAAATATTGTCTCCTCAAAAAAGTACCATTGGGCTTGATAATGCACCAAGAATTGAGAATACAAATACTTATGATAATGTAACTAGTTTTACAAATATCAACTCTAGGATTGAGACTTCCGCTCATTACAACCCAACAGGGGTTAATAGAATCTTCACTTCCGAGATTCAGCCTTCCAACCTTACTCCTGTTAACCAAATAAATAATACCAATTCATTTAATGCCAACAATTTTAATAACTCCACCATCTTTCAAGCTGTTCCTGAACGTATTACCTCGTCTTTACCTTCACCTCCTCAACCTCATGAGGTGTCACCGCCAATGAATTGGATAAATCAACATCAAAGTCTTCAACAGCAACATGCTATGGCAATATATGACGATAATATGAATATAAATTGATACATAATTTCACTAAGTTTATTTTGTGTCTTTATGAGCAAGTTTAATAAATAATATTTTGGATATAGTACGAAAAAATATTATTATAGGTTATTACTGAATTTCTGATAATATTAGGAACACAGAATCTGTTATAAATCTGAAGCATTAATAAAGCTATAGTATATGCAATAGCAACTATGCTATTTTTAGTAGGGCAACCCACTTTTTTTTGAGTAGAATAGTCATGTTAGATACTATAATAATTCAACAGAAACCTCCTACTTTCCGCATTTCTCTTATTACATTTAAACATTATATAGTAAGAAAAATAATAATTGTTCGGAGCGTAGCTGAGAGCTCAATTTTTATATAAATATCAAACGTAATTTTGAATTTCTGCCTGTCGCTGTTGCATAAGTTTCACGTGATTATAATGGTTTTTTGACAATGGTTTTCGTTTCCTATATTGCAGGACTCCTCAAACAAACATCATTTTTTAAAAATGGCCAACTTTGGGACAAAATAATGAATTTGATTGGCCAATAGCTTAAAAAATTTTTATTATATTTTTTGAAATTTTTGTTTGTTTTTATATATATGTGGCCAAATTTTTATTTTATTAGTATCATTAAATAGAAATTACAATTTCATGTTTATCGCAAATGGTCAAGATAAATCTATTCTAATTTTTAACAAAGATATCTTAAAGCACTCTAGCTATGGTGAAAAAAAGTGGCAGACATGTGATTTTTAGGAATCTAGCCAATTAGATAGCAAGATCTTCGTTTTTTTATTTGCAAAATCGCCGATAACTCGAAATTTCACTTGTGAAGCTGCCTTCTGCGTACTAACAATAAAATTCCTCGCTAAATTTTGGTGTATAATATGCCCAGGGACCGTTAAAAACTTTTATTTATCCCAATAAAAATTGAGTTTTTTTTGCAGATCTTTAAAATTGACCAATCAGAATGCAAAACAATATCACGTTACATCCTATTCCATATTCTGATTAGTAGTAATGCACACCAGCCAAATCCTAGTTTCATAGACAGAAGTTTGTCTGATTGGCTAATAGATTCAATTTAATTTTATGCGTATTATTTATACAGTTTAGAGTACTTTTTTAAAAAAACGAAAACTAATCATAATGAAATAAAAAAAAAAGCTGTATAGACAGTTTCATTAGAGCTGTAGGACCCTATAGCCAAAAATAAGATCTAATTTTCGTCCGTTTAAAAAAATTAGCTTAGTAATAAATTGATTTTATCGGGTTTTGAGAAATCATTACTATACTAACTTTTTTAAACGGACGAGAATTAGATCTTATTTTTGACTATGGAGTCCTACAGCTCTAATGAAACCTTCTATACAGCTTTTTTTATTTCATTAGGATTAGTTTTTCATTTTTTTAAAAAGTATTTTAAACTGTATCAGTCATAGGACATTTTTTCTTATAAAAGTTCATGTTGTCTATAATAAAAATTATAAAAACATATAAATTTACTATTAACTTTAAGCTAAAAATCCTTTTCAATTTTACCTAAGTAACTTAAAAATAAATTTTGCAATTATATAAAACAAAAAAGAAGAAAAAATTTAACTTAAAAACTAAGTTAAAATTTTTGTTAATTTTGTCTATTTTAAAGAAGTTACATCTTCAAAATAGACAAAATTAGCAAAATTTTAACTTAGTTTTTAAACTAAATTTTTTCTTTTTTTTTTGTTCTATATAATCATAATTTATTTTTATTTAACTAAGTTAAAAAAAATCTTTTTTTAAAAAAATATTAATAGTGAGATCATGCTTTTAACTTTATTAAAATTTAAGCAATATTTTTATAAAGAAAAGTTTGCTTTTAAATTATATATAAAGAATAAAAACTTAGACTTATAATTTGTAATCTAAACTTACAAGAGTAGCCAAGGCTCATCTAGATTTGGATGTAAGTAAAAATATAAGAGAGAGAAATGTAGTATTTAATTTATTAAATAGTTTAAAAATCTACTTTAATAAAAATTTTAGGTATTAAAATAAAAGGTAAAATAAGACTAGAAAAAGAACTATTTATTAAGTTAGTAGAAATTAAAATTTAAGATTGTTCAGAATAAAAGATACAGTAAGAAATTCAGATATATTTATATATTTGTTAAATTAAATGAAAAGAAGTTTAATAGAAAAGAAAATAGCAATATAATAAGAAATAAAAATATTATAATAATAGAAATTAATGAGAGTTTATATGAAAAATTATGTAGATTAAAACTGTAAAGTATAAGAATTTTTTTATACAGATCAGAAACAAAATTAGCAAAGACATCAAAAAAAATTGTATTTAAAATAATGTTAAGAGAGTTAAAAAGAAGATAGTAGATAGTTTAAAAGAAAAGACAAATAACTTAGTATAAAGAAGTGTTATGCAGATTCTATTTATAACAAAATAGAAAGTATAAAAAGTTATATTTGTATAAAATATAAAAAACTGGTAGTTTATCAAGTAAAATTTTTAGTTAAAAATTTTTAAAAATAAAAGAATAAAAGTTATAAGTATATTAGTAATTTTTTGATTAGTTAATATGAAGTTATATAACTTTTTAGTTAATATCAAATGCAATAGTAGTCTATAATTAGAATCTATATTTAAATATTCAAAGTATTAGTATATAAGTATAGCATATAGTTTGAACAAAATGACAGATAAGTATTTTAATAGAAAATTTATCAATAAATAAAGTATAAAAAGAATTATAAAAATTATTAGTAAAAAATATAAAAGATAATAAGATTTAGTGATTGCAGACTAGTTGGTTAGCAAGGTTATTAAATAGATTATCTTAATAAATATTAACTTTGTAAAAAGTAAGTTAGATATAGTAAGAGTTAATAAAAATAAAAAGAATATACTAAATAAAAATAATGAGTATGAATTAAAGAAAGAAAAAATAGTGATTTGTGAATGCTTTGATATTTAAAAATAACTGATTGTAAGTTAATAAAGATATAAATAAAGAAATTTTTAGAAGTAGTAATAATTATTGAAAGAATATTAAGAATTTTTGCTTTAAAGAAACATGGCCAAAGTTTAATTTGTGTATAAAATAAGTTGTTTTTTTTTTGCTTATACTAAGGTCATAGTTATTAGTGACTATTGTCTTTATTGTATTTTAATTATAATTACATAACTTGTACAAGATGAGTATACAACTAGCCACAT